GTTCCGTCACTCCTTGGCTCCATACTTGGGAGTATAGTTGGTATTGAAGCAAATGGCACAGGTTCGATTCCCATTAATTAGTGGCTACTTAAAAATATAATATACCCTTGAGCAAGATATATTCTTACCCCTAAATTTGAAATCATACATATTGGACATCCATATGTACGTCCTTCCTCTTGTGTGGAGTATCCATGGACAAAGGTATTCACTGTGGGACTACGGTACAGGTGGATGACTAGTTGCCTCACATGGAATAACTAGTCTACACAATGGAAGGATTGGTAGATTGAGTGTGGAAATGGAGGTGTTGGTTCCCCTTGGCTCAGTAAGGGTTGTTAGTCAATAGTTAATGAGGATATTTACATCTTTGAAGGGGGGGTGAGTGTAGCACATGTGATCATGGGATGAGATTTGGATATACTATCACTGTGGATCCTTGAAACCTTGAGGGATAAATGGGGATAAAATAGCCACTAAGGGCTCTCTCATTAAGCAATTGCCCCTTTTCCAATTGGCTTAAGGGGAGAGAAATAAAGTGCACTACATAGACAATGATATCTTAGAAACTTAATTATCAGTGAATAAATCTTAGATGAGAACAAAAAAGTATTCCAAGTAAGTTATCATCTGATAAACTAGTAGTATAGTATAGAAACCACCAAAATCATCATTTTCGGAAACATAGGATTGACCATCCAACAAAATTCAATAGCAAATATATCATCACGGAAACTCAATGATGAAACTTAACTATCGAAGATAGGAGACAATATGCCAAACAACTTACTAAAGATAACTCAAAGAACCAAAATATTATCGACTAACAAGCACATTACTTGCGAATGTATTACCCGAAGGAAATAACATCCCAATCTATCAGAACTAACCCGAACAATAATCAATAGAACAGAATGGATGCGGTAAGACCAACAAACACCTATTTATGACAACTATCACACTAGCCAATTCGAATAGATCTCAGCCAACAACACCAAAGAACTCAAGTTGCCTAAGCAAGTGTCAGTAACATCCTACTAATGTCTCAAACCCAAAAGACCAATCTAGAGCAAACCACAAATAACATGTGGTATTGCAAAAAGTTATAAGCTATCAAAGAGAATAACTAACCATCATGAAAAATCATGAATCATCCCATCAATGAAGAGATGCATAATTATTGTCAAAGAGGAATTCACCATCCCAAAGAACGGCAACTCATTCCATATCAACAACAATTAAGCAAAACCTTTTGACAAGGATAATCAACTATCCTAGATGATAGTCAATCATCACTAATGATTGCCAAACACAAAGCCAACTTCAACATCGAAGTTAATGAGCAAAAATGCCTTCCCCAACAACTTCTAACAAATGGACCACAAGCATGAAAACTTAAGGAACTAAAAGCTTGAAGAAGCCTATAGCTAAGTCTTGCCTAATAATGATCACAAATCTTGCATGAACTAATTTCAATGCTAAAGAAGAAATCATGGTATAACCCACAACATCCTTCTCAACACATCCATAAGCTAAACTTCATAATGCCAAAGCTAATGAAGAGCATACCTACATCAATCCAAAAGTTATGCATAACGAAGTTATGCTCAACAAGTGATCACTAAACCATCCTCCATGAATCCATATTTTAGCAAGACGTAACTCACTAAATAATAAGCACAAGAAAAATTAATAATGATCGAGATATCCCAATTCAAATCCAACAAGGATTCAATCACTTTAATATCAATCACTAACTCTTCCTCTTATAAAGTTAGTATAGTCCATGACTAAATCACTTTACAAGGAAAAGCCAAAGCTCAACCCCTACTAAATAATCTCGTCTAGAATATGACTAACTCAACTTACCACTTAGCTCATTTGATCGCTAACATAGTTGCTAACTAGCAAATGCACAAATGCCAATAACACTAAACCATAGCCAAATCATCAACACTATTTTCATTGAGATTAATGAAACTCGACATCAATCTTTCAAAAAGACATCTCATTTCACTCAACTCTCAACATCAACAATGTCAACAATAAGGCATCACTTCAATGCCATCAACACCATAACAAAGCTAGAAGAAAGCACGAATGAATCATCACTCAAAACTCTTTAGTAAGTAAGCTAATCAAAGTCAAAGATACTTTAATCAATATCCAAGATCAATCCTTTAGCAAAACTCAATTACAGATAACACTTCATCAACGAGTGATTCACCATGTCCAAAATTTAATGAAATCCAACACTACAAACTAAACGCAACCAAATGATATTGACAAAGGTAGAGTTGACATGCCAACATGGAAAAACCATGTCTTGGTGTCCAAACTTTCCACTACAACAGCACCAATAGGACATTGTTGACACTAAAGTCTCCACCTAGGAATGGAGGTTGCCAATCCGGAAAATACTAACAGCACCAATAAGTGTGACTAACTTCATCACACACCTAGCAGCAAATATCATGACCACGACCATATCCTCGCCTTTCTCCTTGAACTCAAGCAATAACAACATCAACCTTCATTAAAACAAGATCATCTCCCACATGAAGTAGAACTGAAAGATGTGCAGTGAGAAGTGGAAAAAGTGACATCTCATAACGTTGTACCAAGCGAAGGACATTGTTAAGGGTGGCTCAAGCAAGTGCATGTATAAGTCCTACAAGATTTTAATAAAGTACTAGCCACAACATTTCTAGCTTGATCCACTTTGACATATTTGGCTCCGCACAAAGCAAGAGGCTTCGGAAATGAACACCAAATTGCATTACCGACTCAAATGGCATTTGACAAAAATGATATAATTGTTGAAAAGTATCATCATAATGGTTAGCATATCCAAATGTGTGTTTGAAGATATTTGGGAAAAGATTCCAATCTTCATGGGTGGCTATGCTCAAACCATTGTACCACTGCAATGCCATCCCTTGGAAACATGTGGGAAACTCATGCAAATGTCAAACATCATCCCAAGAATGATATGTGGCAATCATCATGAAGTGATCAAACTAATGGTACACATCATCCCTAGGATTCCCACGAAAGAACTCTGGTTGAACGTAAGGATTAGCACTAAGAGTAGGAGGAACTGTACCACGTGCCTTGAATGTTGCCATCAATTGAATTTGGTTGTTCAATTACAATTGTATAGCATTGAGCAATTGCATCAATTGTTGTTCCAGAGTTAAAAGAGGAGGAGACTACTACTCTGCCATGAACATGAATGAAAAGGAAAGAATAAAAGAAAAAAATGAAAAAAAAAATAGAAGGAAAGGGAAATCTAGACAATACAAAAAGCTATATTTAAACCAAAATTTTGAATGGAAAAAATAAAAGAAAGGAAATGGAAAAAGTTAGATCTAGACGAAGATTTAAACCAAAATCTCAAATCCAAACACTCCTTAAAGACAATTAAAGTATATAAGTGCATGGAATATGGAAAGTGAATACGAATGGTCCAAATTGAAACTAATTTGGCAATTACCAAAATCCCATTACACTAATATTAACATATAACAATAGTCACTTGGACCTCATTAAGCCTACTAAAATATCTTTAATAACTTTGTAAGAAAAATATGAGTACTAAACCTAATACAATAAAAAAATGAGTGCTATAAAAGAGCTGTATGCACAATACATACAGTGAAGTCATTTGATAAAGAATTCTAATTACACCTTTACCAATATTCACAAAAAAAAAAATGCCAACTCAAACTCATATATATATATATCGAGCAAGTGTACAAAGAGCAAACACTGACCAAGTTTGGAGCTAATCGGTTAAGATGCAGCGTGTTGGAGATCCGTCTGAGCCAACCAGCCGAAGAGGGAGGCAGTGTAACGTGTACATTCCAGTGTCCACATTGTCAAGGTTGAGTCCTTCCACAAGGATCACTCCCTGTTCATTAAATCACGACTTACTCGAAGATATCCAAAATAAGAAAATAAAAGCCCATTGTTCCTGACCTTCCTTAGAAGAGCCTTGTGACTTCTCGCTAGAGCTTCATAAACTGCAGCGGACAAGTAATCCACTCCTAACGAAACTTGTTTTAAGGATCCCTGGAGCAAAACTTGGAATGAAACATTACCAACTAGTTTGATTTGAGTTTTCTCGGCTATATACTCGGCCCCTTCTCCTGTGATCGCCGTGTAGTCAGTCACAAACTCTGGTTTCCACATGAGCCGCCTGTATGAAACAAGTTAGCAATCGCCTGAAACTTGAGAGATTTTCACCTGTCCGTGTTTAAAGTTCTAAAGAGAACACGCTTTACACCTTGAGGAACTATCTCCTTGATCACACTCCCTGGTTTATACGTGAAAAGAATCAAACAAAGTAAAACATGGAACTTGAAAGTTGCAAAGCCAGACCTGATATATTTGTTTCTCTGGGAGCTTCCACAACGAGCACTGGCCCTGGGAGAAAGAACAAAAAAAAAGAAAGAAAAAAAAAATCCATCAGCGAAAGCTAGAACTATAGGAGAGCTCGATCGATCCACACTTAACCATTGAGAATGCCGAGATCCAAACCATTGCTCGTGTCCACCCCAGCAAGGAAGGCATCCTCCAAGAAGTGGCTGGGCGAATCGACGTGCGTCCCTGTGTGCACGCCCATCTTCTTAAGCTCGGAACCATTGGCTATGGATCCATTGGCAATGCTCTCCACCTGATGGACGAGCTTCCCCAGCCCCCTGTGGAAGGATTCCCAAACCGGCAGCCCTTCCCTAAATGAATGCGTAATATCGATGATCCTCGCGTTCGTCGCGCCACTGCCGCTGGTGCACCATTGCTCGCTCTGGGCGATCGATTCGGCCCCAAGAACAAGAACAAGGGTTAGAACGATCGCGCAAAGCTCCATCGCGAACAAGAACTGTAGGAGGGAAATTAGTTTAAGGCACACAAAGGTCCACGTAGACACTGCTCGTCGCGAGATTCGATCAGACGACGTCAATAAACAGCAAAATTAGGGTTCTTGCACAATTAGGGCTTTTTCCACTCTCATGGCATCGTCACTTAGCGCATTGCGTCACTGGCGCGCGTTTGCTTCTCCCAGCTCCCGGAATCGCCAAGGATCATCAGGTACTAGAGTTTTCTGGAATTCAAATGGCGCCCCGAAATTTATGTTGGAAATGCCGCAGTAGCTGCGAGTAATCTGTGGAGGCGCGGCTTTGCCACGGCGGGGACGATCCCAGAGTGCTCGGATCCGGCCATAAAAAAGGCATTGAAGCAGCTCTACGCGATCAACTGGTACGATATCGATGAGAAGACGGCCAACATTGTCGAGGGGACTTTGAGCACCGGCGAGGGTACCGCCGATCACACCATTCTCAAAGATACGTGGTCGTCCGCCCGTGCGGTGGAGACGTTTTACGGCACTCTGGACGCGCTGAGGAAGTCTATCGACGATTTAATGGGATTGTCTGGAGAGGTACGTTTCATTGTTTCTGGGAGGGAGTTCTTGGGCATGACTTTGGTTTTTGGTACTCTGTGAAGAACACTGGACCTCTTCCTGACCAACACCAGCGTGCTTTGGAAGCGGTACACTCCAAGTACGTGAAGTACCTGTCGTCCTTTGGAGAACACGAGCATTCCTTGAAGAAGAAAGTGGAGCTGGAGCTGGGAAGTACGCTCGTCCTCCTCAAACAAAGAGTCTCCGGGCTTCCACCGAAGTGGGGAGATGTAAGTTCGTGTTTTCTTCATTGGTTTCTTACGTTGAGATATGGAACTTTGTGTTTCGCAGGTTGGCTTGCTTGGTACTTCAGGACTTAGTGGCTCGTATATCGAACAGAGGGAATGACTTCTTCCGGTTAACAAGCAATAAAAAAGTCCGAGTGAGCGTATTCTCTTTCCATCTCTTGACAGATTTGAGTTCTCTGGATCTTCCAGCACACAGGATTCATGGCGTCATCCATTCGTTGCAACTCCCTGGAGCGATGATACGCAACTAATCAGACAAAAATACGTGTGCTCCAGACAGGATTTCTACACACTTTCATGGTGGTTCTCCAGAGGGACCACGGCTTTTTCGTCGGGCTACAAAAGCAAACTTTCTGCGAGGTAAGACTCCGTCCTAGTTTGTTTTGTGTCACGCTATTCGCACTGCGTTACAGGAAGGACGATCGACCCACCAGCATTGCTCGAGCGCTAGCGACGCGAATTTAAGAAAAAAGTTTCATCTCTATCACTGCTCGAGAGATTCCTGGCTTCACCACCGCCCTCTACGTCCTTTAACCTTTTTTTTCGTCTAAAGGTTTTAAAACTCGAGGGCTCGTTTTCACTGTGCCTGTGAGGCACCCTCGACCACCATAGCCCGGGATGTCGACTCGTCCATACGCTGACGTGGCGGGAACGGTAAAAAGTGAAGCTTTGGTAAAAACGAGGGGGAACTCACATGCTATACGTATAGCAACGGGTATAAATCTGTGTGTCAGTACTTTATGGTTGGGTGGATTGTGTGTGCTTGGGAAAAATTTGGAAACCATTGCAAGGTTTGATATTAGTCGTATTGATGTTGATGTTGGAAAATAAAAAATCGTCGTGTAGGTATGTAAAGAGCTTTGCTCTTTCATGTGTTGTGATGTTCTATACGCCGGGAAAGAGACGTCCAGTTCCAGTCGCTACAGGGCTCATACGCGTGATATACGCTTGGTAATACATCCCATGCCAGCCAATCTCCCCAGATGTTAAAGAAACGTTATATTGATAGGAAAATGGTCATGCATTAAATCACACAACATAGTTCATTTACATTTCACTGGCATTGATAAACGGTCTTGGATCGCCTCCGTCCGAGCTCCAGGCCATCATGGCCGTCACCGCCGGCTGCCATCCTGTCCGTGCGATCGCACGGTCATGGGGCCGCCACGTAGTCACGGCCCGGCCTCCTAGAATGACGTGATGAACGCCCTCAAGGCGAAAGAGAGAGAGAAGAAATATTTCAAGAAAGTGTGGAATGGAGGAAGGATGAAGCTTGAATCCATTCGCGAGGGGTTTTGCGTCGATCGAGACGCTAGCGGCGCGCGCTATCGCCATGAGGAGGCGCGGTGGAATCTGCATGTCGATCGCCGGCACGGAGATTTCCTCCAGGTATGGACGCGATCCTTGCTCCAAAATGTGACATTCTATGATCCTGACCAGCCCCTGCGTTGTTCTTGCCGATCGATCGGCAGTTCTTGCCAGCCGGCATTGGTGATCGGGCGTGGATTTCGATTCTAGCAGCGGTCGGGCACGGGATTATGCGGTGATGCGGGGCTCCAGGGCTCTTCCCGGTGATTCTTTGATCGACTGGCTCGATGGCGTCGCTCCAGCATTCTTTTTGCTCCTGGCGGCGGCGCCTCTCTTTCTTGGAATCGATATCGTGGCGGCACAGAGTAGCGATGGGGGCCTTGACAGCGATCTTTCGGCATTGCTGGATTTCAAGGCGGGCTTGATTGATCCAGGTGACAGGCTCAGCAGCTGGAATCCATCGAATGCCGGCGCTCCATGTCGATGGCGAGGGGTGAGTTGCTTCGCCGGGAGAGTCTGGGAGCTCCATCTTCCACGCATGTATCTCCAAGGATCGATCGCCGGTATGTGGTCTCTTACTCTGTTTTCCCAAATTCTTTTGAGTGATGAGTGCTTTCACTTGTTGCCTATGCACAGACTTGGGGAGGCTGGGATCCTTGGATACGTTGAGCCTTCATTCCAACGCCTTTAATGGGTCTATTCCAGATTCTCTATCCGCTGCTTCCAATCTCCGGGTCATTTATCTCCACAACAATGCCTTTGATGGCCAAATCCCAGCGAGTTTGGCTGCGCTGCAAAAACTCCAGGTTCTCAATCTCGCCAACAACAGGCTAACCGGAGGCATTCCTCGCGAACTCGGGAAACTCACATCATTGAAGACGCTCGATCTGTCCATCAACTTTCTTTCAGCTGGCATTCCGTCAGAGGTATCCAACTGTTCCAGGCTGTTGTATATCAACCTCTCCAAGAACAGGCTTACAGGTTCCATACCACCATCTCTCGGGGAGCTTGGTCTGCTGCGCAAGCTTGCTCTGGGTGGGAACGAGCTGACAGGAATGATTCCATCCTCGCTCGGAAACTGCTCTCAGCTAGTGAGTCTGGATCTGGAGCACAATTTGCTGTCTGGGGCTATACCAGATCCTCTGTACCAGCTTCGTTTGCTCGAGAGACTGTTCCTGAGTACCAACATGCTGATCGGAGGCATCTCGCCTGCACTTGGCAACTTTTCGGTATTATCCCAGCTGTTTTTGCAAGACAACGCGCTTGGGGGTCCTATTCCTGCGTCCGTCGGCGCGCTCAAACAGCTCCAGGTGCTGAACTTGTCTGGAAACGCTTTGACCGGTAACATTCCTCCTCAAATAGCAGGGTGTACTACCCTTCAGGTTCTGGATGTACGGGTTAATGCTCTCAACGGTGAAATTCCCACAGAACTGGGTTCGCTGAGTCAGCTGGCCAATCTTACGCTCTCTTTCAACAATATCAGTGGAAGTATTCCATCGGAGCTGTTAAACTGCCGAAAGCTGCAAATTCTTAGACTGCAAGGCAACAAACTTTCTGGAAAGTTACCGGACTCGTGGAACTCTTTGACAGGGCTTCAGATACTAAATCTGAGAGGGAATAATCTTTCCGGTGAAATTCCAAGCTCTCTTCTCAACATTTTGTCGCTGAAGGTACTGGAAGTCATACTGACGCGAAGTATTCCATCTGACTTTTAATCTCGGTTTGCAGCGTCTGTCACTTTCTTACAACAGTCTCTCGGGAAATGTGCCACTCACCATCGGCAGGCTGCAAGAGCTACAAAGTTTGTCACTCTCGCACAACTCTCTGGAAAAAAGTATACCGCCCGAAATCGGCAACTGCAGCAACTTGGCGGTCTTGGAAGCGAGTTATAACAGGCTTGACGGGCCCCTCCCACCTGAGATAGGATATCTTTCTAAGCTTCAAAGATTGCAACTGCGGGACAACAAGCTCTCAGGAGAGATACCAGAAACGTTAATCGGCTGCAAGAATTTGACGTATTTGCATATTGGAAACAACAGGCTATCGGGAACTATTCCGGTTCTACTCGGTGGTTTAGAACAGATGCAGCAGATCCGTCTAGAAAACAACCATCTTACTGGCGGTATACCGGCAAGTTTCAGTGCTCTGGTAAATCTACAAGCGCTCGACGTCTCCGTCAACAGTCTTACAGGACCAGTTCCATCGTTCCTCGCCAACCTTGAAAATCTAAGGTCGCTGAACGTATCATACAACCATCTCCAGGGCGAGATTCCTCCAGCGTTAAGCAAGAAGTTTGGAGCCAGCTCCTTTCAAGGCAATGCACGTCTGTGTGGAAGACCTCTAGTGGTGCAGTGCTCGCGATCGACAAGAAAGAAACTCAGTGGGAAAGTTTTGATCGCGACAGTGCTGGGCGCCGTCGTGGTTGGCACGGTCTTGGTGGCAGGCGCTTGTTTCCTGCTTTACATACTGCTACTGAGAAAACACAGAGACAAGGACGAGAGAAAAGCAGACCCAGGAACAGGGACGCCTACCGGGAACCTTGTCATGTTCCACGACCCGATTCCCTACGCCAAAGTTGTCGAGGCGACGCGACAGTTCGACGAGGACAGCGTCCTGAGCAGGACGAGATTCGGCATTGTCTTCAAGGCCTGCCTGGAAGACGGCAGCGTCCTCTCGGTGAAGCGCCTCCCGGACGGCTCCATCGACGAGCCGCAGTTCCGGGGCGAGGCGGAGCGGCTGGGGAGCCTCAAGCACAAGAACCTGCTCGTTCTTCGCGGCTACTACTACAGCGCCGACGTGAAGCTGCTCATCTACGACTACATGCCCAACGGGAACCTGGCGGTGCTGCTGCAGCAGGCCAGCAGCCAGGACGGGAGCATTCTCGACTGGCGGATGCGGCACCTGATCGCTCTCAACATCGCGCGCGGCCTCCAGTTCCTCCACCACTCGTGCGACCCGCCAGTGGTGCACGGCGACGTCCGGCCTCACAACGTCCAGTTCGACGCCGACTTCGAGCCCCACATATCCGACTTTGGCGTCGAGAGGCTGGCGGTGACGCCCCCGGCGGACCCTTCGACGTCCTCGTCCTCCACGCCGGCCGGGGGATCCCTGGGCTACGTCTCGCCCGAGGCTGGCGCGACGGGGGTGGCCAGCAAAGAGTCGGACGTTTACGGGTTTGGGATCCTGCTGCTGGAGCTCCTGACGGGGCGGAAGCCCGCGACGTTCTCGGCCGAGGAGGACATTGTCAAGTGGGTGAAGCGGCAGCTGCAAGGGAGGCAGGCGGCGGAGATGTTTGATCCGGGACTGCTGGAGCTCTTCGACCAGGAGTCGTCCGAGTGGGAGGAGTTTTTGCTGGCGGTGAAGGTGGCGCTGCTGTGCACGGCGCCGGATCCCAGCGACCGGCCCTCCATGACCGAGGTGGTGTTCATGCTCGAGGGATGCCGGGGCGGCGGCGGCGGCGGCGGCGGCGCGGAGGTGGCATCGTCGGACCTCACCTCGCCATTGTCGGCTGTGTAGAGGCTGGTAAGAAGCTCTCGCGATCCGTTTGAAAGATGACAAATCTTTCGCTTTACAGTGACAAGTGTGGAGATCAACATTTTTTTCTTATGATCTTCATGATCAAAAAGGTAGTCGTTTTAAATGTGATGCTTACCCACAAAGCTTTCGTTGTAGTTCGGGGGCTTCGATTACGAGACGATTGTTTGATCACCTGGTGGGGGGGCTTTCCCATATCCTTTTATGCAAATAGCTATACAAAGGCACGGAGTGTGCTCTTCTCTTCTTCCCTGTAAGAACTGGTTAGAATGGCGAAAACTGACACGAAAGTTTCACCTGTTTAGATGGCCAGCGATCGGTATTCATTGGAAAAACGTTTTGCTGCTGCTGGGTGTTGATTGACGACTCTGGATATAAAAAGGTAGAAACGATCAAAAAAGGAGGAAAGAATGTGTCATAGGTTCTCGCGTAGCCATCTCAAAGCACCCTGGGCAGCGGACCTGCGGAGAGAAATAAGCCGAGCTTTTTCTTTGCTTTGTTCTCGTTCTTTACTTACCCAATGGCGCTCGTCACCTTGCCCAAAACTCCACCATCTTCTTCTTCGTCTTGTTGGCCTTGGCTTTGGCTCTGTGCATTCTCTCCGTTCACACCTGCACAGGTTTCCAAGCTTCTAAGCCACCGCAAAATAGCTGCTCGGTGTGACTTACGCGCTTTTCCTTTGATTGGACTTCGAGATTTTTGCTGCTTTTGCAGATTTGCCAACTCCTCGATCAGGCTCTTCTCCGATTCACTGCAATGAAAGAGCAACCAACATAAGAAACCATATAGCCAATATCGACAAACGATTCAGTCACCTTAACCGCTTTGGAATCACTATTTTGATTGTAAAGAAGTGATCCCCCCGCGCAGAAGGCCTGCTCAGGCGAGGAACTCCCATCTTTGAAAGCACGAGAACGTCACCTGGTTGTGTTCCAGGAGGTATTTGCAAGTCCATGGTCCCGCCTACAGTTTGTACCTATAAGCCCATCTTTTGACATCGATCCGACTGATATCATCACGACAGTACCTTGATAGCAGTTCCCAAAATTGCGTCCGTGTAGTTAATCGAAACGGTCGAGTACAAATTCACCCCATCTCTCTGAATGCCAGGAACTTCCTTGACACTTAGATACAAATAGAGATCTCCCGGTGGTCCACTGCGAAACCGAAGACAAATTAGAAAAAAAACGCGTCTGATAGGCAACAACATACCCTCTCAGCCCAGCATCGCCTTCTCCGCGAACTCTCAAAGTGCTGCCATTGTCTACACCAGCCGGTATAGTCACCTTCAAACTTTTTTTCAATCGTACTCGTCCCTCACCACCGCATTTGCGGCAGTAATCTGCAATAACTTCCCCCTCTCCTCCGCAGGACGTGCACGTAGACACCTGAAAGATGGCTGTGTGAAAATCCCGAAGGACGTATAGAAACGGATACTCGAACCTGAGAAAACATGCCGAAAGGAGTTTCTTGAGTACGCATTACTTGGCCTCTCCCTCCGCACGTAGGACACACCCTTCGACTCGTGCTCGAGACGGCACCAGAGCCGCCACAAGCTCGACAGGATTCCAAGTGTGACGCCTCAAACTCCCTCTCTGCGCCGAAAATGGCCTCGGAGAACTCCAAAGTCATGTCGTAACTAGAAAACCAGACGAGGTCAATCAACTTACAAGACTCCTCACAAGCTTACCGAACGTCCTCACCCTGCACGGCAGTGCTTCTCCGCCTTGTTCCAGTTCCCATGCCTCCAAAGTTTCCCATGCCACCCATTCCAGCTCCAAAAAACGACTCCAGCAAGTCGAAGGGATTGCTCTGTAAACAAGAAAGAGATCAAACAAGAGAAAGGAGGGAGAGAAACAAATCCCATACCGCATAAGCGCCAGCAGTAGATCCCATTCCAGGAGAGCCCTTGACTCCAGCCTCCCCGAATTGATCATACAAGCGCCTTTTATCATCATCGGATAACACCTACGTGAAAAATTCTACCACTCTTACTTTTTTTCTTTTTCGGATGAGGATGAGACGCATTTACCTCGTAAGCCGAGCTGATCTCCTTGAATTTCTCTTCTGCGCCTTTCTCCTTGTTGATATCTGGATGGAACTGCGGCAGATCATTGCCTCCAATCACAAAAATGCGGGACAGAACGAGCTGGCCTACCTTGCGAGCCAGCTTCCTATACGCGCTCTTGATTTCCTGCTTGCTCGCCCCCCTTTGGACGCCAAGAACTCCGTAGTAATCCCCCGCCGCACAGATCCGAAATCTCTTCCTCTGCCGCTGCTGCTGGAGACGAACTCTGCCACTCCACGTCGATTTGGCGCCGCAGAAGCTCACCGAGGCCGTCTTGTCCCATCGATGGAGCGGTGAATTGCAGGGCAGCGCTCCAGCCACCGGCGCCATGGCCATTCTCGAGCACAATCCTCACGACGCCATAGCTCGGCTTTGCAAAACCCTAGAAGGATATTCCATTACTGTTCAAGCGCATATGCTTTATTTGAACAGGTCCGGCGTTCGAATCCCCACAGCTGCCGGGAAAAAATATCTGGAGCAGCCTGTGCCACGTGACGTCTTGTGAGTGGGCCATTGGCAAGGTAGATCCAACCGCAGGTTCTAACGGTCTGATGCGTCCAAGGGTATAGGGCTTAGGGTTTTAGGGTCTGCATTTTCTTCGTCCAGTTTCGTCTATGCCGCGAGCGCCAGCGGCGTCGTCGTCCTCGTCCTAGAACTGGTAAGCGCTTTTGCTAGATTCGCCCTGTTTCGCCGTTTGATCGAGTGCGCGGTGCTGCAGCGAGTGATCGCCGCCGCTGTGGTGTGTTTTCTCGCTCACGCGCGCAATGTGGAAGGTCCGGAGAGCAGCGGCGTGTTCCTCATCGCTTCGCAAATGGTATTTCGAGCTTTTCTTGCTTGGTTTCGATTGTCTCGCTTGCTTTCTCGCGCTCCAGGTGCTTTACAGAGAAGAATGTGCCTCGGTGCTCACCGGGACTAGGGAGCTCGGATTCAAGAGCGGCATTTGCGAGACGGTGCTTCTCTCGAGCGCTGCTGCCTGGTGACGCGACCAGCTACGTGAAAACCAGCCGGGGTCTCTCTTTCTCGTATCGGGGCTTCGCCACCAGGCACGACAGCGCCTCCGACCTGTCCGAGAGCGACGAGTTTGAAGAGCCCGAATCGAGCAGCAGCCTAAAAGAGATCGAGGACGAGCCAGAGGAGACCAAGGAGGATGAAGACGAGGAAGAGGAGGAACACGAGGACGTGAACTCGCACGAGCCGGTTACCGTGAAGTCTGTGGAGAAATCGAAGTCTGAGAGGCGGCTTACGCTGGCTCACAGTGACAAGCTGGAGCAAGAGCTTCTCGCGAGGATCTTTGCTTGCAAGAAGGACGAGAGTATGTCCTCGGTGCTGGACAAGTGGAAGGAGGAAGGGAAAGATCTCACCGTGAGCATGATCGTGACGGTAATCAACAGGCTGAAGAACTCTAACCGGATGGCTCATGCCTTGGAGGTAAGAAAGAAAAGTTTCGGTTTCGTTCTTCTGTTTTTTAACTTCTCTTCTACTTTGCTAGATGATCGAGTGGGTCGTGGATGAGCCCGATTACAAAGACTTCAAGTTGGCGAGATCCTTCCAGCTCGAGATAACTGCGAGGTCCAAGGGGATCGCGGCCGCTGAGAAGCTGTTTGAGGAGCTCTCGGCCGAGGAGAAGACCCGGCCCGTGTACAACGCTCTCCTCACTCGCTACGTCTTTCTCCACAATGTGAAGAAGGCCGAGGGGCTGTTCGAGGAGATGGACAAGGCCGGCTTCCTGTCCCAGAGCCCCTTCGCGCTCAACCTCATGATGAAGCTCTACAAGCACAAGGGCGACAACGCAAAGTTCCAGGAGATGCTGGAGAAGGCCAAGGACGTGGCGGTGGAGCCGAACATCTTCACGTACAACGTGATGCTGGACCTCAAGGCCAAGGCCGGGGACGTCGAAGGCATGGAGAAGATCTTCGAGGAGATGAAGCTCAATCCAAACGCCAAGCCGGACGGGACCTCCTACTTCACGCTCTGCAAAGGCTACCTCAAGGCCGGGCTCACCGACAAGGCGGAGGTGAGCCTCCTGCGGATGGAAGTCGGGCCCTTCCGGAGGACGAAGGCGACGTTCGAGTACATGATGCTGGCTTACGGTCAGCTGGGACTGATCTCGGACGTGGAGCGGATGTGGCAGAAGTGCAAGATGGTTCCAGGCGATGGATTCAACAGCTTTCTGGCGTTCCAGCGGGCGATGGCGCTGGCAGGGGAGGTGCAGAGGGTGGATTCGATGTTCAAGCATATGGACAAGTGGAAGCGGAGCAAAACGGTGGACTTGAAGCGGCACAACAACCTGCTGCTGGCGTACTACAAGAAGGGGATGAAGTGCGAGATCAAGGAGCTGGAGAAGAAGATGAACGAGATGGATCTGAGGGTGACGCTGGTGGACTGGGAGAAGGAGCCGATCAAGATGAGCAAGGCGGCCAAGGCGGTGGTGAGGAAGGACAAGGAGAAGGAGATGGCGGCGAGGAAGGGGCTGGAGGAGGCGGTGGAGAAGGCGGACGTGAAGGCGGCGGAGAGCGCGTTTGAGAAGTGCAAGGCGGGCAACATGGCCAAGGTTGGGGTGTGGAACAAGCTGCTCAAGGCATACGTGAATGCGCAGGTACCCGCCTATGGATTCTTGCAAAGGATGAAGGCGGAGGGAGTGGAGGCGAACGAGGAGACGCACAGTCTGCTCAAGAAGTTGCAAGTTGAGGCTTGACAATCTTTTAGCTCTTTTATCAACTTAGCAAAAAAGACCATTGTACGGTTAAGAATTTAGTTTATAGGGATATTCCTTGACCTAATGGAATAAAAGGTTAGGGAACATCTTTACGCACAAAAGGGTATAAAGATATACCTTTTATATTTTTATAAAGGGTATATATTTATATCTTTATACCATACATTGATATATGAGTTGAAGAGTCAAATAAATCATCAGCTCACATTTTTTATAAGAAGGTTAGGCAACAAAAGTAGTGGTGGATGACACAACATTTGTTTTAAGTGTGATGGTGACCATTGGCTCAAGATTGTTTAATCAACCAACAATGTCCAGCTATGATCATGCTACATATGTTAAAGAAGGTATTGTGGAGTTGACTAAGATAACAAGAGATTCTATAAAGGGATTTTTAAGAGAAAAAAAAGAAAAAAATGAGCTGAGCTTCAAAACTTAATAAGGATGCAAATATTAAGAAGCCAGGGTTTGTAGTTGAGGATGTTGTGGAGATCTTAGTAGCGGATTTTTTTTAGGCAATAACACAACTTTGCAATGGAGATTCTTGAGAGGGATTATAGAAGAGAATCTTATTGATGTGTTAAGGGGAATCTACCTATTTGTGAGGAACTAGATTGGGGTAAGTGTGGTTTAATGTGGTGCATTACAGCGAGGTAGTAGAGCTCCATGCATTATTACATGATAAAGGAGGATGCTGACAGGGAATCCTTGAATGGGAGAATTATGAACAAGTTTCAAGTCATGTTCACTACAGGAAAAACTTATAATGTGGAGATAGAAAATAGTGGAAGGGAACCTAATGGGGGAATGTGAATGATTGCTAATGGAGGCTATATAATGATGAAAAAGCCTCATATTTAGGAGATTTCAGAAGGGAATTCTATAATATGGTGGCTAGTGAGGAATTCTAAAAGAGAGTCCTACTAAGATGGCAAATAAGGGATTCAGCACTAATGTTGTTGCAATCAGGTCTTCAAGGCACTTGTGAGGGAGATCTGCAATATGTGGCCAAGTCTAAAATAGTGACTATCAAGACAGTATCAGATCAAGTTAGAGACTGATATGACTAGCAAGGTTCCTCTTGTTGCAAGAAAATTGAAAGTGTGCAATCAGAAGGGAATCCACTTGTTTTCAAGTTTGTGCAGTTGCCCTCAAACTAGGATGCAAATTTAACTTGCATCCTCACAACTTGTGACATAACCCCACTGCGCCTGCAATAAAACTGCATGAGGTAGGTAGGGCAGTGGTGGAGCTAGAGTGCATTCTAAGATCCTGAGAATCTTGGAGCTGGAAAATAAAAGTGGGAAGTAATAAAGAGTATGGGTTAGGCTCCCCTTGGGGATTTTGTGAGTGTGAATTAGAATAAGGATTGTTTAATGCATTTTGAGTGTGGTTTAGATTAGAGTGTGCTTGTGCATATGGATATGGGTTTTTTTCTTTGATTAGCAAGTGTTTTTCCATCAGTGTCCAAAATAACTTGGAGTGAGTGGGAGATCTTGTGTTGGCATTTGTAGTGTGCTGAGAGATTAGGTCACAGGTACATATTTGTTTTGCCTCATGAAGCTCCCACTAGCAAGTAGAGAGCAACTAAGTTGCATCAGCAAGGATAAAAAAAGCATAATTATGCTGACATTTTAAATATTTCATGCCATCTAGCTTGAGTGATAAGTTTGTTCAATGTACCTTCTAGGATGGTATATGCCATCTAAACTGGTACAACAGACATGACATAAAGGGATTAAATCTGCGAGGTGGGGGAGGCTAGCATGCTGGCAAGGACGTGGAGAACCAGCCTAAACAATGTTGTGGAAGATCAAATTCAGGATGGTTGCAGATCTCCAGAATGGGTAAATACATGCGGTAATGCAATCGAGAGGAGATCCAGAAGGATCAGGAGTAGATACCATGTACCACTAACAGGCTGTGAGATCCTCTCCAGAGGACACTCCATGATTTAAGTCCTAGGAATCACTAGTAAATGCCTTTAAACACAAGATTCTCTAGAGGGGATGGGATGGAGGCTTGGCTTCTACCTTCTTCACCTCTTCTCCTTGCCTTTTATACCTGGTTTATAATGTAGCCTTGAGCTTGTGTGAGAGCATCCCATGGGTTGCCAATAGTAACACACTGGCCCTGCAAACACTGCATTTGCTGCTCTTGTTTGTTACACGTTTTCTAACCATGTTCTTTTCTGTTAGGGCTCTTGAGCGGAGTGACACGATGCTGAAGAGAGATGCTGGGAGACAAACTGATATGGAGAAGGATTGGGCATTGGCAGAGGATCTGAAAATGCTCAATATTCATGGATTTAAGCATTGCCATGGAGGTTCTTCATGGAAATATTAAACATTTTTTTAGGGTTTTCTTATTTTGTTACTGACAATGACCGCATTTGAACGTTTTCATGTTTGCTCAATCAGTATATCCTGCCACTCTACACGTGGAGAGTGGCTGGACGGAAAGATCTCTCACAGGCCTGCAAATGCCTGTGAGGGGGAATTTGTGGGAGCTGGTGCATTGGGAGCCTACCAAACAGGCGGCCCAAGAGCAGTGAAGTAGAGGATCTTGGGCGAGAGCTTGGAGGAAGTTGCCCTTGGGGATTCCTGGCCTAGTCTATAGGGATGTGGATGGTACAGGCAATAGCTGCTAGCTTTACTAGCAATATGAAACTAGAAAACATTAAATTAACTGCTATATGAATCGCTCAGATTTCTCGCAATGGCGTCAAAAACATCATCTACCACAGCAGCCATATCATGGTTGATGTTCTTCACGCAATAGCCATGGATGGTTTCTCGGCCCTTCAGAGGCTTTCACCACTTCGGCTGGCTGTTCCTAGAGTCACTATATATGAATGGTTGATCTACTCAGAAGAGCCAGATGGTATTGTGAAGCACACCTAGAGAGCCTTCTTCCAAAACTTGGATATCTTACTTGGTTACACGTAAATTACAAAGCATGTCAAACGTTTGTGACAAACATAAACCTCAGCTGAAATGGTTGACAAGATCAACTTAGTATTGCTAAATTCAATATTTTATAGTTCACTTTATATTTGAAAAGTTGTTTTAACTCTTAAATATACAGCTATGTAACAATTAACATAAAGGTACTATACATGTGAATTTTATTTTTTATAATTTTTATAATTTTTTAATTCATCTGCGATTGTTATTTTGTATTTTATAAAGTAAATAAAATAATTTAATTCAGCAGTTTTAATGATATTTTAAATTTAAAATATTTCTACTAAATTCATCACCAAAACAATATGCAACAATGCTTTGTTTGGTGTTATTCCTATTTATCATTATGTAATGATGAATTGATCACTACATAATCTGAGTTTATAATGTGTATTGAAAGCAGATTTAACACATGAAGTATATAACTATAAACATGTTTGTAAACACAAGATCGATCTCATTGCATAATAAATTATAATATATTAGAAAGTGTTTAGGAAATTTTATGATTTAAATCTAAATGAATAACAACAGTTAGATAGTAGAATATCCCAGAATATTTATGCATATTTTACGCATATTCATTACCCCTAGAAAGCATAATTTTGTTTAGTATAGCTTTGTTGTTGTTTGTTATGTTAGAAAGTGAATTAATAAAAAGATAAATAATTATAAGTGATTTTAAAATATATATATATATATGATAAAAGTATTATTAAAAATATTTTATAACATTCTGAAAATATATAGTACAATTAATGAAGAGATTATATATATAGATAGATAGATAGAACATATTTTATATCTCTTTTCCGACTTCCTTCAATTCTTGAGTTGACTAGCGTGGACTCCTGCTAATATAATTTCTCCAGCCCATCTCCATCCACCCAGGGTGTCTGTACCCGACTAATGCCAGTTGTGTGGAAATTTGTAATGGCTTTTCACTTCAACTTACAAGAGGGTTACAAGTAAGCTGCAGAGCGAGTCCAACGTCTGTGATGTGGCAGGAAAGCTGGTTAATCGTTTGTCACTGAAATTTGCTATCAAACTTCGCTAAACATAGTGATTATGGCAACGAGAAGTGCCATGTAGCCAACCACGATAAACCTGGAAGAACAATATCGTGTCCATGGACAGGTTGACCAGACCAGTGGGTACGTTTGCCTGTACCAAACAGTGAGAGAAGTGTATGAATGCCTTGCTGCTCATGGCCACAAGGAACGGTTTGAGATGCATTAGTTCGTTTCTCTACGATTGAGTCTCACAAGAACAAAAGTTAATAGCGACTTTACGACGGAGCCCCACAAGAAGCCAAAGCTCTGTAAGGACGTCTTCTTTCCGGACAGGATGAGTATGGAAGGATTGGCGTCCAGCCCTCGCCAAACATCCAGGGTGAAGACCAGAGATCTGGCGGACGCCACCGTGCAAGCCAGCCGCGAGTTTTGGAAGCTGGGCAGCAAAGTCGTGGAGGGATTGGCGCAGGCGGTGATGAAAACCGCAGACAAACTCTCAGGCCCGGTTGCCATCGTTGCCGTGGGAGCTGAGGTTGTGAGGTTGGATGTTGCGGGGCTGTTCCAGTTCACGGCGCTGCACAACTTGAATCTAGCAGTAGTGAATATCTTGCCGCTGCTGGCGCTAGACGGAGGCTATCTGTTTGATCGCGCTCAAGGCTGCCCGACAAGACAGAATCGGAGATCATGTCGTCGGGACCTCACACTGGGGATTGTTCTTATGGTCTGGCAGACACCTCGTCCACTTGTGAGTTCTGCTTTCTAACGAAGTCGATATATATATGTATATAAATATATTAATAAGTAGTTTCTTTAAGTAAAGAGATCAACCATGCAGGTACTGGCACAAGTTTGCGCTCTACTCCACAGTCAGTGACGAAAGCTGCTGAAGATCACCTTGCTGCCATGGCTGTTGGGTGACGAACGCTCTCGTAGATGATGTTTACCATGATATAGTAGTTAAGTTTGCTAATCGTCTTTGGACCTCCCCACGAGCTCCTCAGTGAGGATCTCAGCTCCTTGTCCGATGAAATTTTTTCATGGTGGAAAATTTTGAGAACCTTGAGCTGCGCTCTCTTCTCCGTCATGGCACGGCTCACCGGACAACCTCCACGGACAC